ATCGAATTCGTGGTGTTCCAATATAAGCTGATCGCCTTCGCGCAGTTGCTCACGGTGGAGAGTAAAACCGTTTGTAGGCACACGAGGAACACCAGGGTCATAAATGACTTGGAAACCATCGTAAAAACGTGAACGAGGACGAGCACCGTCAGTACGGCCACTTGGACTCAACAATGAGAACAACGAAATAACGATAACAATAACAACAACCGCAAAAGGAACGTGAACACTTGCACTTTCGTCGGCGTCGTCGTCGTTGATGTCGTCCACAACAACCACCTTCCACCAATTCGTCGCACGGCCACCACATCCACTTTAGCACTTGAACTTTTTTTTTTTTTTTTTTATTGGCGATTTGTCTCATACGCTAATCCCTTTTGGATCCAACGAAAACGATTTCTCTTGGATAAATCGTAGATAGAACGTAGACAGGATCCAATTGATGATATTTTACGATGAACTCACAATGAAAAAAGATTTACGATGAGAATTTCGATGATAGTTAAGTTGCAACATCGACAAGGCGATCAGACTCGATCGTTTTCAGATTTCGTTCGGTACTTTTCAAAGTTGTCCAGCGAAATAAGCCTTGTCCCATGGATCCATCCCGTGCTTCTCTCACCTGGAGTGTGCCTTGCCAGACCTCTCATTTGGTCTAGCTTTTTTCAGGAGTCTTCACTCGAAAAAATCACGATGCTAAGAGATTTGAGACGTACCGCATATCAACGGCGCACCGTCGGCCGTCGATCTTCGACCTAAGCGCGCCTCTCTCTCTCTCTCTCTCTCTCTCTCTCTCTCACCGTACACCTTACAACAATCGCAAGTGTAAAGATTAAACTATTCTCCGAGTGGACTCTTCTTTCAGGATCGTTCTTCGAACTGAACGAATCAAAATAGACTTCACGAAGATCGTTAATATCTTAATTCCTGCGATGTATAAACTTTTAAAAGGAATAAACCTTTTATAGAATATTATCCACGATATGAAACAAACGATCTTCGAAATTCTTTTATCCCAAAGAAAGATGACGTAGAATTAATTACGATATTTCACCTTCGTAATTCACCTTTGGATTACACTATGAACAAAGAAACACTGATCTCTCTTTGAGAGATTTCAAAGAAATTAACAATGTTGGTTGAGTCGTAGGAACACACTGTTTTGTATCACTTTAGTACACTGTTCCTTCGAAATGTTTCCAAATAACGTTGTAATTTCCAGAAATGTTTATAGAAACTCGATGTGAAGTCGAGGAAAAGTCGACGAATGATATATAATATAATAATAAAGAGCAATAGGTATATGTGATAGCCGTCGTCTCGTCGTATAGTGCCGCTGTTCGAGATTCTCTTTGCGCGGAGAGAAAACGGTACTTTCCTACTTGGTGTCGCGGACGCGTCTGTCGGCCCGAGCCGAGCTGTCGCGGCCGTTCGTCTCGCGTCAGCAGACTCGTGCGGCGGCGGCGGCGGCTACGGCGGCTACGGCGGCGGTTACGGCGGCAACGGCGGCCGAGGGTGTCGAATGCCGCCGAACTTAACCGAAGATGCGCGAACACGCAGGAGAGCCCACCGCGCGTTATTCCTCCTTGAGCTCTTTCAGAGGTACGCGGTATTACGCTCTCTGCTCGCGAGACGCGCGTTTCCGAGTGCCTCTTCTCTTTCTCTTTCTCTCTCTTTCTTTTTCTTCGTCCTATTCTACTTACGATCGAGAGACGTGCCTTAGCTCTCTCTTTCTAATTCTCTTTCTCTCTCTTTTTGTCTAATTCTTTCTCTTTCTAACTCTCCCTTTTTTACTCTCCCTATCTCTCTCTCTCTCTCTCTCTCTTTGTCTAATTCTCTCTTTCTCTAACTCTCTCTCTCTCTCTCTCTCTCTCTCTATTCCTCTTTTTTCCTCTCTTTTCCTCTTTTTCCATGAAATCTTTTCTTCGATAACCTTGCTCTCACCGATACATTTTTTGTTTTCCTAAAAACTCGTAAACAATAACTTTTTAATATTTTACTTATAACCTTCGAAGTGATAGTTCTTTTTCTTTTTTTTTGCAATTTTCGAAGAACTCAAAGAGTGTTTATACAATATCGTTTATTATGACGATTCGATGGAATGGAATTTTTTAGTACGTATATGTATATCCATTGACGCGTCCTTAACAAAATGTAAACATCTACTAATCACGATACTTTTACATAGACTCTATTAAGGAATTATTAGACAACGGTCTTATATCAGATATCTTTCGTGTTAGAGTTTGGGCTTTTAAGAGAACGAGAGTGCTTTTCTTTGACTTATGATTAGCGTTAAGACACATTTCCTGCTTTAATTTCGTTTAGCTTTTTCTTCTTCCCCACGTTGTCGTAGACTCGACCGATCATTCTGTTTTACAAAGAGAAGAAACGATATACATACACTGGGAAATCTTTTCCCCTTCTTAACTAGATCGTACGTCTGTTGAAAGTGCGTCTACATATATTTCTCGGCGAGTGAATACGCCGAGCTAAGAGGAAGAGGAGAGATGGATCGAAAAGGAAAGGAGGAAACAGAAATATAACTGAATATATAAAGATGTATACACGTATATATATTTCTGAGGATGCACTCGGGTATGTGGCGCCCTCATGCATAAGAGGAAAAGAGAGAGAGAGAGAGAGAGAGAGAGAGAGAGAGAGAGAGAGAGAGAGAGAGAAGGAGGAAAGAGACGATCATCATCCTCCGCGTTGCTCTCTCCTGTACAACGATCTCGGGGGCATACTCCTTCGCTCTCTTGGATCTCAAGAACCGGTATCTACCCACGGACAGTCATGTCGGTCATTAGTCCGACTAATGCAACGTTTCGAATTCTATCGGTCTACGGCGCCTGAACGTTCATTTCGTTTTCTCGCGTTTCATTTTTGAACGAAGATGGACCAGAAAATAGACTGGAAACTCGACTGGAAATTGGACATTAGCGTGCGTTTCCAAAGAAACTCGAAAAGATTTGCTTTCGAGCAGGAAATAGAGCGAAAACGAAGGCAAACGCTTCGGATCGTCGAGCACGCAAATTCGCTCTGATTTTCTTTTACTTCCTCGTCTCTAAGCGATCACTTGTCCCTCTCTTTCTCTCTCTCTCTCTCTATCGTTTTTTTATTAAAGAACGAGAGAAGAATAGAACAATAGGATAGGATTACGAGGGAGGTAGAAAGAACACGGACACGGCGAATCGATTATTTGTCCGTCCGCGGGCCTTGATTTTTCACTCGTCACGGGCCATTAGACGATGGTATTTCATCGTTCCTATCTCGATCTCTTGGTATCTCTTATACCGGTCGACCGTCGATTTGCGATCCTTTCAAGATCTCGAGAACACCTCCTTCGAATGTGTATTTCGTACAACGATTTTAGGGTAAAACTTAATAGATTCGTACGATGTGAATAGAACGAATTTAGGAGGATTAGATGATACTGCTTGACTCGAGTTGCTCGTACGACGTGATCTTTAAATCGTTCTCAAACAAACTTCCAGTGAGGTCTTCTTGATCGTTGACTCACAATCCGTTTGTTACACATCTTCGAAGAGTCAAAGAGTCTCTTTCTTCGTTCTTTCCTTCGGCAAGCAAAACGGCCAACAACACCCGATACACAATGGATAGTATTAAAACGAATGTAAGGTAGTAGGTAAAGCGGCGCTCTGACCAGAAACGCATTTAAGTATCTCGAGTAATGCTTCACGAAAGGAAAGTGCTCGGCAAATATTGATTCTTGCGGTTCTTACGCACTTCTCCAACGGGACTCGGAAAAAAGGAAACGTTTCTCTGTCCGACGGAAGGGATGAGGGACCAATGAAGAAAGGCCAAAATCCTATGTACACGTACGACCTGAGAGAAGCAGCAGCTTTCACCACCGGAGACCCTCAAGAGAATTCTTTCGACTACTGGCGTTGTTCATTCCGAACAGGTGAGACAACTTCAAAAATGGCATTCCGAGCTTCTCGCGAAAAGCTGTGCAATGTTAGTCCCTCCTCTCTCTCTCTCTTTCTCTCTTTCTCTCTTTTTCTCTCTGTCTCTCTTTCTTTGTATACACTACGCTCGAGTTTGCGTTTGTTTGGGTCAGAGCGCTTTAGAAAAGCAATTCATCGTTCGAAGAAACTCGCAATGACTTAATAACCGTGTAGCGGTTTAGAAAGAACATGAAACCATTTTCAAGATACGCAAGATATAATAAATGATTCTATTATACGTTTAACAGTATGTACTTATGTACGCGAGGATTTTAAAGGTAATCGTTAACAACGCTTGGGAAAATAGAGTTAACCTTCTTTTATTTCGTATTATCCCAATTTGTTCTACCTTTCCAGTTAAAAGCTTTGTTAGAGACTCATATGACACATCGACTTTTATAAAAGGGAAGAATTTTATTTTTCAAAGGATTGCCATGGCTTCATTCAAAAGTCGCATGGCATCGTCGAACACAAACGAGTCTCTTTTTCATCTCGAAAGAATTATCATATTTTTATAATTCAGAGGGCTTTCGAAAGGGGTTTACGCTTAATTTACGAAGAAGCACGACCTTTGGTCATACATTGTAAAATTCTTAACGGGTCATCTATCATCGTTATTTATCGGCATTCGCCAAATTCGTGGTATCGTATAGATATACGAGTATAGGCCTATATGTAAATGATATAGGTATAAGTTTGTATCTACCTACATATATGTTATATATAGGTATATACATAGATAGAGATACCTACATACGTGATTACGTGGCAGTCGCGTTCCTTTCCATCCTCCAATCCATTTCGCTTCATTACCAGCGCGGATCTACCGTCGAGGAGGTTTCTCTTGACCTCTGCCTTGAACTATGATTGGACACGTTACATCGATCCACGTCGATCCTGATTCGAGCCATCGTTCGCACGTAAACGCGCGCGTCAGTGGATATCTCACCTTCGTCAAAGCCGCGGACGATATCGCTCATCGACGTTTCTCCTTTTGCCGGTCGATTACTATGAACGAAAGAAGTCGACGAGTTGCGTGCGAGCAGCCAGAAAGAGAGAGAGGGAGAGAGAAATCGATCGATCGATCGTACATTAACCGAAAGGTTCGCACCTGCGTACTCTTCATTTAAGCGAGAAAAGCGAGGACGAAGGACTCGTAGCGATTCATTGAGTGCGTGCGTGCGTGCGTGCGCGCGCGCGCGCGCGCACGGTGACTCGATTCTCGAGAGATCGAGAGAGGATCCATTAGCCATTAGCCAACGTTTATGCCCGTCAAAGTGTCCGATGGAGAACAATGGGGAACCTAGAATAGGAATCGATTTTACGCCTTTCCTTCTCTCTCTTTCTCTCTTTTCCCCCTTCTCTTCTCTTTCTCTCTCTCTCTCTCTCTCTCTGTCTCTCTTTCTTTCTTTCTGTATCTTTCTTTGGCGTTCACCTTTCAAGGCGCGTGCTTTCGTCTTTGCTATTTTTTTCACCCCTCCGCACATTAGGCACCGATTCTTGCCACAGGTACGTATTTAATTTGTTAAACCGCGCTCCACCCTCATTGGTGTTCCAACCTTTGTGATGGTCCTGACAATGGCGTGGCATTCGCGTGATTATCAAAAATGAAAAATTCTCTCGAAAATTAATCGCTTAAGTATAGTTTAAAAATTTTCTCTATGAATAATTTTCATTTGAATTAACGTAACAAATAACGAGATTATTTTAAAGAGATAGATATTATCGAAACAAATATATTAAGACGAAAAATCATTTCTATATTGCGCCATTGCTTACATCCAACAATTCGACACACGAACGATCTTTAGGCGCCAAGACAATGGTCCTTCCCTTCGTCCCTTATTGTTTCGGCTACGACAACGACAACGACGACGACGAGCGGAATCTTAAAAGAGCGGCCATTATTATACTTCCATTCAAAGATGCCAACCCCGCTCTTCTCATGGCTCTCCTTCGAAACCTTCCCCTAATAATCGAACGAGCCTGGAGACACCTGCGTGAAATCGAAGAGAGCCGAACGCGTGAAAAATTTCTTCGGCTTCTCACGACGAACGAGCCTGAAGGAAGAGGGTTATTGGGGAGAATCGCGCTTGTACGTCATCGAAGGCGATAGGTCACCGTTACTAACCCTTCACCTCTTCCCTTTACTTTTTCGTATACTCAGATACGATTCCCTTTTACACGTGAAAATCCTTACAGGTTGGATAATCCTTTCGCGAATTTTCTCGTTATCGTGGCACGGAAAGCAAAGTGAACTCTTCTCAGGAATCTCAGGAATAATGATAGAAAATACGTGTGTGGCCCACGTAATCGGGGTATTAAAATGGATATGTTGAAAATATAATGAGCTTAAGTTAGAAATATTCTGTATTATTATGAAGAAGAAGCTAGCTGTTTCTTCTTCTCGTACGCGCGTGCGTGGCACGCAGTTAGAAGAAGAAAAGGAGAAGGAA